CATATCTCTGCTGTGTACACAACTGTAGTCCGGGTTTTTCTTCCAACATTTTGATGCTCTTTTCCCTTATGCTTTTCTCAGGAGAAGGGCACTGCCATCTCCCCTTTTAACTGTAACAATTTTTCCTTTCTTATCTGGCTTTTTAAAGTTGTTTTTGCTTGTTTTTTCGCAACCACTATTTTAACCATGTACTTATGCTCAGTGTTGGTCTAGGTTTCTTCGTTGGGGTTTACTAAACTTCTTGAACCTGTAGTCTTACAGTTTTCACCAAAGAGGACATTTTTCAGTCTTGTCTTCAAACATTTTCCCTACCAACTCCTTGTCAGATTGACAGATCACTGATACGGTATTTAATTTTTTTGTTCTCTTCGTATTTCTTCTTGTATAGTTTTGATTGCTTATTCATCAAGTTCACAAACTTCTGCTGCAATATCAAATTTGCCAGATCCCATCAGGGTATCTTTCACCCAAGACACTGTAGCTTTCCTTTCTGAAAGTTCTTTGCATCTTTCTTTCGCCACTGTTTGGCATATTCCCTCCTGCTGCCCTCCTGAACTTGCCATATATACTTACTATGAATGTCACGGCCATTAATCCTTCTCTCTCATTGTGTTCCTGTAATCGGGAGATGTTCCTCTTCACTTCCTTCCATGCCTGCACATTTTCTAAGTGATGCTAGGCATCATGACTGAAGCTTCTGGCATGTTGTGCAATCTTCCACTCTGTACCCCTGTCTGAGCTTTGTTGCAGGGTCTTATTCTAATCCTGTTGGTCAGGCAGGACCTGATTAGAACTCATTACTATAGGGCTGGGTGTCCTGGGCTGGTTCCTGCCAGCTTCCTCCGCTGGCTGCAGGTGGTCTGCTCACAGGTACATGCTGACCGCTGAACAGTCCCAGGAATCCTCTGAAGATTTCCTTGTGCAGCTCTTTCTTCCATGATGCTATTCCCTGTGAATCCTGTCTGTGTCACTTTTCCTGAATGACTAGCCCTGCTGTCTCTTTTCAGTCCTTCCCCTGAGGCCACAGCCTACCCAGTTAGGAACAGCCTGAGCCTTGTCCCACCTCCAAAGCACCACAGACCCGTGTTGCTTCATGGACAGTGCTTTGATAAAAGCACTTTTTCACATATTTTATTTGCTTTTTGGTTGATTCAGAGAGGAGAGTAAATCTGGAGCCTATTTTTTATATCCAGGGTGAAAGCTGCAATTGGGTTAAGACATGTAAATGCCAATTAGGGACCACGAGCCCTTCATTACAGAATTCCACTGCTACTGTCCAGGGCATGGGCACATACTCATGGGGACGAACATCAAGCACAGTGTCTAAGTGCCTGCCCTGGGAAGCTCTGGTTCTGGCTACAGGGGGACTGTGGGCTTCAGCTGTGCCTATCTTTCAGCAGCCTGAGGAGTTCAGAGTAAGAAATGGACATTTCTGCCCCTGTCACAGCTGGGAACTAGGAATGGGGAAAGGTTACAGGAACAAAAGTGCCATTCGGCCTGACTGGGTGCGAGCTTCATGAAAATTCCACTTCTTAACACTTGACACAGAGCAACAATCCAGGAGCCCGAGCCTTCATCAAGGACACTGAGGCTAAAAGGGGAAGAAGCAATGGCTGGGAACCAGCCCTGAGCCCTCCCTAGCCAGGCACCAGCCTCAAGGCCTCCCGGCCAGACACCATCCTTAGACCCCCTGTACCAGACTCATGGCAGCAGCCAGATACCATCCCTGGGCCCTCTGTGCCAGGCTCATGACACCACCGGGAATGGCTTCTCGTCTGGAAGAAATGGCTGGCACAGGGCCCTGCCGCATGGGTGACAAAGTCCCACACGCCTTTTGGACAAAAACATGTAGGTGGCCTCAGGGAATATCATGTGGGTGCTTCAAGGTGCTTGAGGGAAAATGCAATTAATAGGGAAGTTTGCTTTGGTGGAAAAACCTTTTTAAATCCATCCATACATTTCTTTAATGTATTTTTATTTTGAATTTTGAATTATGTGGTACAATTTCATATAGACTGGGATTCCCCCCAAAAGGCCTGCCCCCTAACAGATTTTCCCCATTTTCCTACAATGGTGTAGTCATTTACAAGGAATCTTAATTCTATCCGTCTCATAAGGAATCATATTTCCATCAGTCTCTTATTTAAGTGTACCCTGACATTGTGGGTACAGACAGTGTCAGACAGTCCAGCATCCTGTAGTCTACACATGTCCAACAGTTTCATTGGGAATCCATCTTTCGTCTAGAAGCAGGGATGCATGTTGCATTATACCCCTACATCTGGATATGGCAGATCCCAGTACTCAATCACTATACATTTCCATAACTGAGAAGCAATAAAACAAGGTCAACAACTGGTATGAGTTAGAACAGCCATAACAACAACATCAACAACAAATTGCAGCACCATGAAAAAACGCACCACTGAGTAACCAACACATGGGTAACTAAAAGGAAACACAAAAGTCTCTTGGGAAAAATGATGCCACCATGTAATACATGAGCCAGCAATGAATTCAACAAGAAAAAAGAAATTATCTGGAATAAATAAAACTGAAATAAGAAACATCAAAACACATGGGATACAGCCAGGCTCCCTAGCCATCAGAGAGATACAAATGAAAATCACGTTGAGGTACCACCTAACTCCAGTGAGATTGGCCTACATTCAGAACTCAACTAACAACACCTGCTGGCATGGATGTGGCGAGAAAGCAACGCTCCTTCACTGCTGGTGGGAGTGTAGGCTAGTACAACCACTGTGGAAATCAGTATGGAGAGTGCTTGCAGAATTGCAAATAAATCTGCCATATGACCCAGCTACCCTGCTGCTAGGAATGTACCCAATAGAAATGAAAGCTGCATGTGAGGAGGGGATCTGTAATCCTATATTTGCAGCAGCACAATCTACAATAGCAAAGACATGGAAACAATCCAGATGTGCGTCCAAAGAAGAGTGGTTGAAGAAACTGTGGTACATCTACTCCGTGGAATATTATTCAACTATTAAGAAGAATGAAATTATGCTATTTACAACTACATGGTCCCAACTAGAGACCATTATGCTCAGTGAAATGAGTTAATCACAAAAGAACAAATGTCATATGTTCTCTCTTATATAAGGAAATCAGCATGAAAAGTGTAACTTCAATAATCCGATCCATACTGTTTTTTGTTCATACATACATTTCTAATGGCAAGCTCATGGAAAAAGTATATTGTGAAAAAAACACTGATCAGCTTTTTAAAAATGAGCATAAGCAAATTCATTCATTTCCCACACATTTTGAAATGCCCTTACACGTCACACAGAGGGTGTCTAATGTGGCTTGTGTGCAGGTTCACCTGTGGGTGCGAGAAGCCACATAAGGAGCTCTTGATTCACTCCCAGGGTCATGGCTGGGCCCCAGCACATCAAACCCACTGTGTGCCAGGAGGTGCTGCTCCCTGCACCGGGTGGCACAGTGAGCAACAACAATGGCTGCTTCCCCTGGGAGGCTTGTGACCTGGAAGGAGACATCATCAGCCACCGTCAGAGGTAACAGGTGAACTCCAAGGAGCCGTGGATGCTGCCCGTGTGGCCTGAAGTGGGTGGGCACATGGTCATCTTCAATGCAGTGGCCCGAGTGGGCCTCCCTGAGGTCATCCTTGCAAACGGCTAACAGAATACAACATGGACAAGAGAAGAGAGAGAACAGCTGGGCAGAGCTCTTAAGAGGCTCGGCAAATCTCTGCCAGGAGAGGTGGCAGATGCCAGCATTGTGAGAGAGACCAGAGCCAACTACACTGAATGTTCACAAAAAAACAGAGACCCGGAAGGCAGCTAGCAGGTGTTCCTCCTGGCACGGCAGTGTGTGGCGCTGGTTGGTCTGGACCAGATGTGAGCAAAAGTTCCAGGAAGGAAGCCCCGGGTGCTCAGCATTCTGAGGGGATGGGACAGGAAGATGTGTGCCGTTCTGCCCTCCTCCCCATCCCCGCTGAAGAGCATCAGACCTGGGCAGGGAACATCCTCTCTGTGAATGTGGCTCCAAGCCTGCAGGAAGTGATACAAGCCTGACACGAAGAAGCAACACCATCCACCTGCTGCCTGTGGGCCATCACAGGGACTTCTCTCCCCCACATGATCATCCTGGCTAAGCTCCCAGGCAGGACACTGCCTGTTACCACCAATCTTTGCTTGGAAAATTCTCAAGGAAGATCCAGGAGAATATCCATAGCTGCAGAGGGGAAACCAGGTCCAGCTGCACCATGACCCACAAACAGGAGACATCACTATACACAGACCTGGGGCTGCCAGGGAGAAGCAGGTGACCTTGGAGAGTCCTCCCCTAAGGAAAGGATGTTACAGGACCTGCCTCTGCTCCAGCACTAACAGACCACAGGGCTGGTTGCCCAGCCCAGCCCTTTCTGGCCCCAGGGAGCCAGGCTCTGGCTTCCTACTTACATCTCCTTGAGACTCTGTTTTAGTATCTGTTAAAATGGGTTCAAAGACTATGGCCTGAGAGTTGCAAACAAGGTTCAATGGGAAAGAGCAGGAAGGCCCAGTCTGGGCGATCTGAGCCCCCATACATCCATCTCCCTCTGCCCCTCCACCCAGTTGCCTAGTTCCTGCAGGGGAAAGCCACTGCCGCTGGTAGGAAAGTTTGCCCAGCTACCACCCCCTCAATCTTACCCTGTGGGGAGGGAGGCTCCCTAGCAGGGAGGTGACACAGTGTGACCTCCCAGAAGCCCATATGACATTCCCTTTGCCAGGGTTCTGCAATTCTCACGTTGATGCATTGGGCTGTCAATGTCAGCCATATCCCTCGGGTGTCCTGTGTACAGGACTGTGTGCACACACATGGGTGAGCATGGTTGTCTGTGTGACTGTATACATACATGTGTGTGTGCACGCTTGTATAAACATGTGCTGAGTGTGAATGCCCATGTCCTCCAGCTGGAGCCAGGCCTATGGAGGGTTGCCCAGCCCAGCCCCTTCCCCTCCCTGGGGTCTGCTCACCTCCATGTTTTTGCAGAAGGTGGCGTTGGTGCCAAATAGGATCTGGCACTGCTCATTGGCGCTATACTGCATGCCGGGCAGCTTGTGAGGGAGGCGCACTGCATGCTGGCTCCTGGGGTCAGTGACCAGCAGACAGGAGCTGACTTTAGATCTGAAACAGCCAAGAGACAAGCTGACCTATGAGCTTCCGGCTCAGGATTTTGTGCTAACTTCCCAGTCCCTGAAAAACACAGATCCCCGAGTCTCTAATGGAGAAAGCACCCAGGGCCTGGCACATCCACACAGGCTTTTTCCACTCCTTTCGCACTTTCTCCACATGACCCAATAGTTTGCCTGAGGGCAACTGAAACTTGGAAACTCAGGAGAGGTCTGGGGACAGCACCCACAGGCCTAATGGACTTTTACTGGGGAATCAAATGAAAGTGCTTTCAGAATAGAACATGAGGACTGGTACCATGGCACAGCAAGTCAAGTTACCATCCTTAGTGCCAGGATCCCACATGGGCACTGGCTCACATCCTGACTGTTCTGTTTCCAACCCACCTCTCTCCTAACGTACCTAGGAAAGCAACCAAAGACCGCCCAATCCCTGGACCCCTACCACTCATGTGGGAGACCCAGAAAAAGCCCCTGGCTTCAACTTGGCCCAGTCCTGGTCATTGCAGCCATTTGGAGAATGAACAAGCAGTTGGAAGATTTCTATTTCATCTTCTCTCTCTGTAACTCTGCCTTTCAAATACATAAGTCTTTAAAAGAAAGAAAGAAATGGATTACTGGAATATTTTCAGAGATCTTGGCTTTGAGTAAAAGTTCCTGTGAGCAGACAAAAGGCCTGGATTGGGGTTACTTTAAGTGAAACTGAATCCATAGATTCTCCTGACAGGTGCAGGTCTAGGCTTGCTGGGTTGTAGCAGGTGCGCCCATGTGGCATCCTACCTGCTGCTGTCCCTGGAGCCGCAAGGTGCACAGGGCTCAGCGCCCCAACCAGACAGGAATGCTGCTCATGAGTAGGAGGAGGAGGAGTGAAGAGGGAAGACAAGTGGGAAGGAGAGAGGTAGGAAGGGAGAGGAGGTTCTTCCATCTGCTGTTTCAAATGACCACAACTGCCAGGGCTGGGCCAGACTGAAGCCAGAAGACCAGAGCTCCCTCCAGGTCTCTCACATGGGCGCAGGGGCCCAAGTGCTTAGGCTACTCTTCACTGCTTTTCCCAGGCACATTAGCAGAGGGCTAGATCAGAAGTGGAAAGTGGAGCAGTCAGAACTTGATCTGGCACTCTCATGGGATGCTGGCTTACCCTGATATGCTACAACACTGGCCCTCCAGAGTAGTCCATTCTCAAGTCAGCTTGCCAGTTCATGTCTCCGTTGGCAGGCAGCATCATGAGAGCAGCCTCAGGTAACGACACCTTGGCCATGCACCCCAAACTCCCTGGGGGACATTAATGTGGCCCTGCATGGAACTGCACAGAAGGTGAGCCTCAGAACTCACCTTGGTCTCATTGGGGTGACAGATGAACACAACTCAGGGCAAAGGGATGGGGGCCTGGACACAGATCTCAGGGCACCATGTGGTCCACGGGTTCAGACTCTAACAGGGCCTGAAACCAACTGTCAGTTCTTCCACAGAAGGAACTGGGGATGGGACAGCTCAGACTCTTTTGGGGAAGCAGGCGGCAGCAAGACAGACTCCACTTCCCTGCACACCCATCCCAAGAATGCAAGGGGGCAGTCCCCCACTGAGGCTCAGCTCCACAGCTGCCCAGGGGTGTCTCAGGCCGTGATGTGACTCGGGACTCACCGGAGGAAGTTTTCCAGGTCCTCTCGGCTGCAGGCAGACCAGGAGAGGTCGCTGGGGTTGCGACCTTTCACCCACTCCCCGGACATGATGTGGGACCTGCCGGCGCAGGATGTGTGGTCGTCGTCATGGTTCATCCCCAAGCTGTTGGGGAGGAGAAAACGGGGGCACTTCAGCCACAGCATTTCAGTTTTAGTCCCACCTAGGTTCAAGGTCACATGTCCCTGAAGCAAGGCCTCCATCCCACAGGTGAGGAGGGGTTCACGCTGAGTGTATGAACCCCCTCACCCTTTTGTTCGGTGTCCCAGGGCACACCAAAAAGACACAGAGGGCAATGGTTTGCTTGCAGGCCAATAGGGAAGGAGGCAGCAAAGAACAGACACCAGACCCCTTACTAGGAGTAGGGACCTTCCAGTTCTTCCCCTGGGGACACCTGGGGATCCTATTTGCTTGTTCATGTGAAAAAACTCAGTGCTCCTGGGATGGAGGGAAGTCACTGTGCTAAGGGCCAGGGGAGCAATCCAAGACCAGAACCTGCAGAACATTCCAGAGGGGCCAGCTCTGTGGCACAGCAAGGAAGCCTCTACCTGCAAAGCTGGCATCCTATATGGGCGCTGGTTTGAGTCCTGGTTGATCCATTTCCCACAGAGCTCCCTGCTAATGCACCTGGGAAAGCAGTGGAGGATGACCCAAATACTTGGGTCCCTGCAAAGGAAACCAGGATGAAACTCCTGGATCCTGGTGCAGCCTGAGCCAACAAAGGTCATTATGGCCATCTGGGGGAGTGGACAGTGTGTGTTCTCTTAAGATAGAGAAGTTTTTTTTTTTTAAAGAATGTTATGGAGGTCTCATTTGAAAAAAAAATTATATTTATTGGAAAGGCAGTTAGAGAGAGAAATGGCTTCCATCCACTGGTTTGCTTCCCAGATGACCACAGTGGTCACATTCATCAGGGGTGGGCTAAGTCGAAGACAGGGACCAGGAGATTCTTCTGGGTCTCCCAAATGAGTGGTAGAGTCCCAAGCACTTGGGCTGTCATCTACTGCTTTTCCAGCATTAGAAGACAGCTGGATTGGAAGTGGAGCAGCCAGGACTTAAACCAGCACCCACATGGGATATTCATTAATCCTTAGCGCCAACCCCCAAGGAGGTCACATGCCATTACATTATGCAAAGAGGGGCTTTTTTGGTCTCCCTGCCCCACAATCCCTGAGAGGCCCAAGGGTGCCATCTGGGCCCTGGTGGCCAAGCACGAATCAGGGGTGATGCAGTACTTTTCACACCAACTCTGGGCAGTAAGTCAGAGACCAGCATGCATGAACATGCCTGCTGTTTGCCCACAAATCTCCAGGGCTGGGGAGAATCAGGCTCAGTCAGTCAGTCATTTCAGAAGGCCTTTCTGGTGTTCTCCAAGCATCATGTACCAGTACAGGAGGAGATGACAGGAGGCGTACAGGGTACCACCTGGGGTGAGGATGAGAACACAGACACAGCTGGTGGCACAGAGAGGCTGCAGGGCATCACGAAGCTACACCTTCCCGCTCTTCCTTGTGTCTCAGCATCTTCCTCCAACTCCCCACTCAGTGCTTGGTACTGACGCTGCCCCGAGCATCTTCCACCAACTCCCCACTCAGTGCATGGTACTGACACTGACCCAAGCATCTTCCACCAACTCCCCACTCAGTGCTTGGTGCTGACGCTGCCCCGAGCATCTTCCACCAACTCCCCACTCAGTGCTTGGTACTGAAGCTGCTCTGAGACAGGCCCGCTGTCCTGCTTCTGCCTACCTTGGGGCCTCTCCCAGCGCTCTCCTGGCCAAGGCTGGTGCCGATTCCAGTGGTGCACTCAGGGGCTGGAAGGGTCACCTTTTATCTGCTCTCCCCTGTCCACCGAGAACCAGCTATATTTACCCTCTTGCCTATGGACGCCAGAGGCACGGGTGCTTGGCACTGTAATACATTCGTCCTGTTACATGGTAGGTTGACCAATGAGAAGCAAATGGGTTGTTGGCATGTAAACAGATTTAGCTAACAGTGAAAAGAGATTGCTGACAAGCTGGATCTGGGCAAGACAACAGTAAACGATGAAGAATGACTAATGAATCAGAAAAGTCTGTTCCTAGATGGCTTCACAGTGGTCTTCTATGTTACACACACACACACACACACACACACACACACACACACACACACACACACACACACACACACACACACACACACACCCTGTCTTCATGGCTTACATAAAATAAAATGCAGGGCCAGTGTTGTGGCATAGCATATTAAGCCACTATTTGCTATGTCCATACCCCATGCTGATGGGTTGGTTCAAGACTGGCTGCTCAGCCTCTGATCCAACTCCTGGCTAATGCACCTGGGAATGCAGCAGAAGAGGGCCTGTGCACTTAGGCCCATGCCACCTGCATGGGCAACCCAGATGGCATTCTAGGCTTCTGGTTTTGGACTCGCCCAGTCCCGCTACTGTAGTCATTGGGGAGTGAACCAGCAAATAGAAGATCTCTCTCTCTTTCAATTTAACTGTCTCTCAACTGTGCCTGTCAAATAAATAAGTAGGTAAATATATTTTTAAAAAATTTCTAAAGATCATGTTTTGAAAACTGGGTTATTGATTTGAATTGACATTTCCCCAAGGACCACAGATACCAGACACATGGCCAGCAGGTGCGTGAAAAGATGCTCTGGGTGTCTGGGGAATGTAAGCTAAAACCACCAGGGAAACAACCTCACACCTGCCGTGCTGTGTACCACCAGACCACCCCAAGTGCTGGTGGGGACGGGAGATGCTGGCCCTTGCACACTGCTGGAGCAACACATGGCAGTGAAAACCACTGGGGAAACAGAGCATGTGGCATCTTCAAAAAAAAAATCTGAAAAACAGAAGCACCCTGTGATCCAGTTCTCATCCTTCTGGTGACTTATCCAGAGCCGAGCACCCACTGACAGACAGAAGGATCGACTCAACATTGCATGCACGTACGGAGGGACCGTGTTCTGCCTTTTAACAAAGGATATCGGAGGTCCATCCCTCTACATTGGGCTTAAGGTGGGATTGGATATCTCACTTTATGGTTACAATGCATTTTTAAAGTTTGCTGATTTTTCCTTCTTCATGAGGCAGCGAGATACGCTTCCATCTACCAGCTCAGTCCCAAAACACCTGCAAATGCCAAATGCTAAAAAGCCACAAACCAGGAACTCTATCCTGGTCACCCAAGGGGGTGGTAGGGACACAAGTCCTTGAGCCATTGCTGCTGCCTTCCAGAGCATGTATTAGCAGGTGGTGCAAGCGGACACAGAGAGAGGGCTCAAAGCCAGGCTCTCCAATAGGGGACATGCGCCTTCCCAGCAACGGTTTGACCTACTGCTGCCATCATGCCACCTGAATGACTAACTGGTGACAGATTCGCAACACATCTCAACGAAACAGGCTGGATATTCAAGGTTCTAGAAATCTCGTGAGAAAGGGGCTCAGCACCCACGTCACGGTGAACAGCTGTAACCATCCCATGCAAACAGGTTGGCTGCCCGTCTCCAGTCTCACTGGCCATTCCTCAGCTTTTATAAAGGGTACCCTTTCACCACAGCCATGGGCCAGGGACCTCTGAGTCCAGGTCTGAGTCATAGACCTGGGTCTCCACCTTGAACTTTGTCCTGCCCAGGGAGGAGTGAGATGTTTCAGCCTCCCCACATCCATCATGGACACATATAGGGACTCTGAGCCTGACGAAATGAATCTTTAGCCTCTATGGTGTGCTAGAGGTGTCAGCCAGCCCAGGCACCTGGAATCCCAGACATCACCTGGGAACTTCTGCAGGGGCTTCCCAAACCTCTGCTCACACGGGAGTCCCATCTTGTGGCACAGCCCCAAGTTTTGAAGGGCTCACAGGCTGCCACGGGAGAACAACTCCATGTTGCAAAACCTGCACACTCACCAAGGTGACACAGCACCCGCTCACCCTGGGAAACATTCAGACCCCCTAACGGGAGCTCCTTAAAACCGCTTCCTACACCTCCAGCACCAGTGGCAGCTTCCTCTGCCATCTGGGATCTGGCTGGGATCTCCCCAGCAGCCGTCACCAGAACATGATTAGTTCCAGGCCCAGGGAGAAGGGTCTCGCTATGTGGGGTGGAAGGGTCCACTTGGGACCACTTCCAAGCTCTCCCTGGTAGTCAGACAGATTGTTCCTCCAAATGCTCGGCCTCTCATGCCCAGAGAACCTGGTGCTACAGTACACATGAGGTGGGAAAAGTGCTCAGAACACCTGACAGACCTCAGCATCTCAGCGGGACATAGCTCCATGGACCAGCGCAATGCCAAGCTCACGTGAATCACTTCTCGGGCAATTTCTGGTATAAATCAAAGATTCCTTAATAGAAAACCTCATGTGATTTTGGGTTCACATCCCCAAGGCGTCATATTTAATGAAAATGGGCAGTGTGCAATCCACCCTCAGAGCACTTCTGCAGGCCAGTCCAGGGCACAGACCTGCCTTGTATCCCACACAGCTTGCACTTGTCAGCACAGTTTCATCTGAAAACAAAATCACATTACTTCTGTGTGAATGATACCTTGGGAACGGCTCTGAGAAGCTTCCTAGAGGGCCCTACACCCTCCTGGCATTTCTCCCAAATCCTGGCAGCCACACAAGCCAGTAGTGTCCCAGAATTAGGACATCTGCCATCCTGCAGGCAGCACCTGAACTGGCCCAGAACCAGCCTGGTCCTTGGCAGCTTTGGGGTTTTGCTGTCAGGTGTTCAACTGGGGTTGACTCCAGCTCAGAATAGTTTTGGCTGAGTTTGTGAAACAAATACTTAGGGGCAGGATGAAGAATTGGGGTGGGGTTGGGGAGGCAACAGCAGGCAAGGCCGCTGGTCCCAGGTCCCAGGTCAGCAGCCAGGAGGCTGCTTAGGAGGCCAAGAGAGAGGGCTGAGAGGCACAGGTTTGAGACTTAAGGATTCTGATAGCCCCTAGGGTAGTGGCCTGGCCCAGTTCCATGCAGCCACTTGTAGCCACATTCCTCAAGCCCAGAGTCTAATGGGAATGGGGTGGCCCTTGCAAATATAGCGTCTGGTTGACCTCAAAGGTTCTTATTCACCCACCCTGGTTACAGCAGCTCTTTCAAA